CGGTATCCCACGATATATGTTTTCTAGAAGTAATTTCTAAAAAAATTTTCGGTTTCCTCCGCTTTTTACTCGCTTTACGAGCGCAAAGAGATGTGCCGAATATCTTTGAGAGTTTGATTTTTTTTCAACTGTTTTACCGATTATAGGGTCGTGAAATCGAGCGCGAGTTGTGCAGTGTTTTACAATTTGATGACTAATTTGATTTGTGTCCTAGTTCCCTATTTTTCATCTATTTTTCGTTTCTAAATATTCAAAACTCACCACGCTGGCTATATCCATAGGATGGATCGGATAGTTGTAGCCAGTTGTGGAAGATGTCAAAGCACCTAACGCTTCAAAATCGGTCTGAAATTTTCAAAATTTCGATTTTTCCTAATTTCTTACGGTAGAAAGTATCATCACTTACAAAGTTAGCGTTGCAGGAATATCCGTTCTGATTGATATTGACGAAAGCATTCACACGAACACCTAGACCTCTCGCATTTTCGTAGGCAGTGAAGAAATTATCAACCCTGCTCTGATCTTGTGGGGAAGCCTGAAAAATTTGCTTCATTATCCAAAAAAATTACCAAAATGGATTGAAAAACCACTTACACTAAAGATTTCAATATAGGACCCGAATCTGACATATCTGGATGTAATGTCGAGCGCTTTCCACAGCTGAATGAATCGATTATTGATTTTTAGCCAAAAGCAGTTAGAAGTAATTAAGAACTAGTATCGATTTTTCACCGAGTGTCATTTTGGCTAGGTAAAAAGTATTCGATTTTTGAACTGTAACAATTAACTAAATGAAAAGTAATCATTGATCTATCAACAAGAATATTGAAAAAAATCGATTGTTGATTTGTAACCAAGTGTGATAACTGTACAAGAAGTGGACAATTATTGTCCACTTAATTACATTAATTACACCAAGGTGACTTTCATTTAGGTAAGAAGCATTCATTACCAATTCTCTACAAATAAAATAAATAACCGATTTTTACCAAGTGTACTTTTCGTTAGGTAAGAGATCCTATCATTGAAATTTATCATTGATTTATTACCAAATTCACTTTAATTGGGTGAGAAATTATCGATTATTGATTTTTCCTATCAGGTACTCAAATGACGAAAAGTCATCGATTATTGGTTTCTAATCAAGAGTTTCTTTTAAATACCTGAAAAGTGACAAATTATTGATTTTTTAACGGGTGTAATTTTTACTAGGTGAGAGATAATCGATTACTGATTTATTACCAAACTTTCTTCGACGGGAGAAGAAGCGATCAAATATTGATTTTCATTAAACAAAGTTCAGTGGATAAAAGGTAATCAGATATTGATTTTTGATCATATATACTTCTGAGTGTGTGAAAAATTGAGACCATTGATATTCCTATAGGTATTTTCAACAAGGAAAACAATTTTTTATTATTGATTTTCGCCAAAAATTTTAACTGGGTGAAAAACGATCGATAATTGACTTTTTACCAAACATTAAATGAGTGAGAGAATAATCGATTTGTTTGTGTCACAACCGATTCGAAGTAATCTTATAAATATTGATAAGTATGACTAGGTGAGAAGTGAAGAATTATTGATTCAACTAGGTAAATCTGGCCAGATAAAGAGC